CTGGTGGTCACAGTGGTCATTTCAGCCACTGGGCCATTAGAATTGGAGTATGGTAAAGCCAAGTGTAGGGTTAAAGGTGTCTGGAAAGTAGAAATGCTGATGAACACAGAGATGTTGCAGGGCTGCAATGTAGACAGTGACTCAGTTCCAGGGCTGGGGTCTAGACAGAGTCAAGGAGGCCCAGACACCAAGTATAGGAATGGATATTTTAAAATACAGACTGGTTGAGGTTCACTCACCCAACTTGGCTCTACTAACCCCTACATAGCAGGTAGACCAGCACTTTACTTCTCAATAATCAAAATGTACCAAGTCCTGCCGGTCTGCCTCTCATTTGGTTCTTGCATTTTGATTGCTCTCTGCACTGACCTTCTCTGCTTCTACTTCTGTTGTTGATTGTGGGTGTGGCTTTGCATTATTTGAGTGTTACTCCATGGGTGTTGTATTACTTTATTAGGGCTGCTGTAACAGAGGACCAGAGTCTGGCGATTTTATTTTTATTTTGCAGTACTGCTGGGTAGAACCCAGGCCATCACATTAAGCTATCTTCCTATTCCCTTCTGTTTTACTTTTTATTTTAAGACAAAATCTTGCTAAGTACCCAGGCTGGGCTCTGATCCTCTGACAAGGCCTGGTGACTAGGGACGTAAACAATACAAACCTAGTGTGTCTCACTTGTGGAAGCTGGAAATCCAAGATCACAGTGTTGGCAGACAGAGCTGGTTCCTTCCAAGGGTTTGAAAGACAATCTGTTTTGTGTTCTGTGCCTCTCTCCTGGCTTCCCGTGAATATCTCTGGTGTAAGGGACATCTCAATTTTACCTTTATGTTATCACAACAGTCCCTCTGTGTCCAGGTCTGTGGCCAGATTTCTCTTTATATAAGGACACCAGTCATATTTGATTAGAGGCTGTCCCAGTTCAGTGGGATGTCATCTTAACTAGTTACATCTGCAATGCCTCCGATTCTAAATAAGGCCTCTTCCTGAGGTCCTGGGCTGGGGCAGGACTTCAACATGAATTTTGAGGTGGAGAATGAACACATTTCAACAAGGGGCCAAGTCCCCAGCATGCACCACAGGGCCTAGCATATGGAGGCACCCCACTACTGTCCATTACCTACCCACTGACAAAAGTGCCCAACCTGAGGACTGCATATTCTCTCTCTTTCTCTGTCTTTCTCTCTCTCTCTGTCTCTCTCTGTCTCTGTCTCTCTGTCTCTGTCTCTCTCTCTCTCTCTCTCTCTCTCTCTCTCTCTCTCACACACACACACACAAACACTTCCAACAGGACGAAGCTGTTACTGTTAGCTTCTGGGGAGGTGCCAAATCTCACAGCCAGCCTTCCAAATCCTCCTGAAGCCTTATCACCAGAACACAGCAAACGAGATAAAGACACTGTAGCCAATTTTTTGAGAAGAGCTCAGCTATCTAGCTGAGAGGCAAGAAGCTGGACAGCACATTATTCTTTTGAACTCAAGGGAACCCTGAGCACAAAGAGGAGGTACCAGTTTTCACATTCTGTCCTTGAGCACCAAGGGTTAGGCCAATCTCCTGGGACTCTAAGACAGGTTAATGACATTAGATGCCAGCATCCAGGTTGGTAAAGAGTATCTGTTATGATTGAGATCTAGGATGTTCCTCTAAAGTCTCAGGCTCAGAGATGGGGCTTGGGGAAGGTGATTAGATCACGGGGGTGCTGTACTCATCAGTGGATTAAGCACCCGAAATGTGCTGTTAGGAAGCAGAGCCTGAGAGAATGGAGGTATGTTCTTGTCTGCAGCTTTCCCCTTTTCCCTCTGCTTCCTGGCTGCCAGGGGCTGCGCACCATTCAATCCCCACGCCCTTCCCACATACTGTTTCTACCTACAAGTCAGCTGACCATGAACTGAACCCTCTGAAATTATGAGCCAAAATAAATCTTTCTTCCTTTAAATTCCAGATGTCAGACACTTTGTCCCAGAGACAGGAAAGTGACTAATAGAGCATCCATCCATACTGCAGACAACTCAAGTTCCCATCCTGTCTCCACCACTTACCACTTCCTCACTGTGTGGACTCCAACAAGGAATTACCTCCGTACTGCAGTTTTTCAACCAGGAATTACGCTTTGACTCAACCAAAGAATTACAGCTATACTGCTGAGTTTCTGGTCAGCTGGCTCCTCGGCAGAGTACCCCAGAATCAGGGGTTCTAATACCACCTATCTTGGTAGGACTTCATGAGAGCAGAAGGAAAAATACAAGTAGAAGGCTGAGAACGGTGCCTTTTGTCAGTCTGTGTTCCCAGTTTCTGTTTCTTACCATCCCCACATGAACACCCTCTGCAAGCTTCACTGGTCACCAGAGCTTGAGTCAGCAGCTGTGGGGCTACCTGGGGGCATTCAATGTGCTTGCTATCTAATGCTGTGTAGCAAAGTACCCTAAAACCTAGAAGCTCATAAAAACCAACATTGTAAATCTCTGAGGGCCAGAAACCCAGAAGTGGATCAGCTTTGGCTCAGGGTCTCTTTGAATCTCAGCATGCGGCTGCTCAGGACTATCCCTCAGCTCCTGGTCACATGGGCCACTGCAGAGGGCAGCAGATGACCCACCTGATGGCCTCCATTACAGACAGCAGGGGGCCAGAAAGACAGTAATGGAGATGGAAGCACATGAGCCCATAACTTGGGACCACATTTGGGGATGGAAGGCACAAAGCTGAGATTCTAAAGAAGTCTGCTCCAGGCTAAGCGTCTGTTGGGCTCCATATGTACACATCCAGCTTTTTCTATAAGCTTCGTATTTTGACAATGGAATAAGGAGAAAGAAAGAGGTGGAATTTAAGGACAAAAACTTCAACCAGCCTGTAGGGCAACTGTTCTGCAGGGCAAGAAATAATCCACTCACAAATCTCTCAAACAGGCTCAGGAAGAGGGTGCTGCACAAGCTTTCAGCACCCCCAGCACCTTCAGGTCTCAGACTTGCCAGTCCTTTCGCTAAGTATCTCGGGATACCATAAGGGAATGTATGACACATTAACAGATCAGACACTACATAAGATACAGTATTTATAAAAAACTGTCCTCAATTCTTCCCACAATGCTAATATTTACCTGACCTTGCAAATACTGGTCACCACTTGGTATCAGTCTCTGCTACACTTTGGCATATGTTCTAGTTTATAAAAATCTGAGTCTGTGTAAAGGTTAGCAATACCCAAAAGGTCAGAAATTTCTAGGCAAATGGTAAGATTAAAAAGTCTTTAAGGTTACTGTAGAACAGTAGCTCTCATACTTCAGTGTGCAGCAGAATACCCTGATGTTGGTTAAATGAAACAGAGATAGTTGGGCCCAGCCTTGCAGCTGACTTCTTGGCTCAAGGAGTCTGGACTGGGTCCCCAGCATTTGTATTTCCAAAGAGTTCCCAAGTACTGCTGCTCTTGCTGGGTGAATATCACACTTTGAGAACCACTGGTGAAGAGAAGACCCAAGAAGGAAATTGTTCTGCAGGGACAATTAGAAACTTTGATTCTACCAAGACTCACCTCCCTTAGCTGTTTGCTGTATGAATTCTGGCAAAGTCTACACCAATACACATGCTGCCGTTTCTATATTCCTCCAGCACACAGATTTGGACGGATCATAGCACTTGCCTTGTGGCTCATATGGGTCCCAGTACATATGGGTCCATTTGTTGATTATTTTTTTTTTTGTACTGGGAATGGAACCCAGTGTCTGCACATTGAGCAACATCCCATCTCCTTTGAGACAGTCCTGTTAAGTCACTCTGAGCTTTAATGTGCAACACTCCTGTCTCAGCCTTGCTGAATGCTGGGGTTACAGATGTGCACCACTATGTCTGGTGCATTCATCCACTTTTAACAACACAATAAACACAAAACAAAATAGAAGCCAGGACCTTGAAAATAACCTGCACTTACCTCCAGGGGACTTATCCATGTATCATAGCTCCCAACATATAAGTAATCAGTTAAGCATCACTTCTTATTTGTCTGTTGATAGTTTTATCAAATCTATCAACTGTGGCATAGTTACAGAGCAGAATACTAACAGTCAAAACAAATGCCAAATGACCAACAAGCAATAATATGGGTGAGTCACAGTCATATAAGATTATGAAGGGTAGAAGTAAAAATTCCATACCTAAAATGCCAGCTTATGATGTTAAAAATACATATTGCTTAGGATGCCTTAAAAAAGGCACACATTTTAAAACTTTTGCATTTATCCCTAATCTTTGAAGAAATGCATGTTTACTGCACAAGAGTCAGAGAGCTAAGAAAAGTATTGGGTCAGACTTACTAGGGAAGACTCTACCCCACATGTCCTCCCCGAGCTCCCTAAGACAGCTGATCCTTCCATCTCTCTGGCTTCCATAAAGTAGCGCTGGAATCAAGAGCTTGATCTGCGCAGGCAACCCACACAGGACACAAAATCAGAAACAAACATAAGGGGAAAAGATTAACTCTGCTAATAACCAGAGAAACGCAGATCACTCCATGACTACTACTGGCAAAAATGATTTTAAAAAAAGAGAATGGCAGTGAGCATCTATGATACTATGGTAAAAATGACAGGCACTGGTGATGCCAGCAGAAATGCTCACTTAAAAATAATTCCTGTTTCAAACAGCTGTCTGGTAAATGTAGCCAGGACCGGTGCAGGCACCCTACTCTCTGGAATTTATCCCCAAAAAGTAATTTAAAGAAGCAACTTGGATGACCCCCAACAATGTAATGAGTTAGAAAACCACAGGAGAGCAACAGGACAGTATGAGACACAGCTGGGCTACTGTAATTTTGAAAAGGAAACACATATGACATTTAATATATGAAGAATACCAAAAACACAATATCGTTAAGACTATGCAACTAGGGCTGCAAGGTCAAATGCAGAAAGAACACAGCTGCTGTGTTCCACCGAGGCTGTGGGTATTGTTTCTTCCTGCCCCTGTCTGCCCTGTTGGGGTGCAATTATACTTTAGAACTTCATAGGCTCCTACCTTGAGAACTTTCGCAGCCCTCTTCATCACTGTTGTCCTGGCAGTTATTCTGCCCATCGCAGAGGAAGCTCTTATCGATGCAGAGGCCGTTCCTGCAGTGATAGCGGGCGGTCGAGCAGAGCAGGGGGTTTGCAGCTGTGAAGGAGAAACAGAGCAGGTCACCAGAGAAGCTGATGAGTACCGAGGGGGTACTCAGGCAGCTGCAAGCTCATCCTCTAAGATGCACACTCTGAGCCCATCAGGGACAAGCCACCCAATGACCAAGACAGGACAAGACTAACTCTGTCTCCTGTGTAGGGTCTCTTCTCGCCGATGGCCATGCCAGTGCTCTTCAGTAACATCAGTGTGGCCAGAGGTGAATGCTCATCCCACACAGTCACTCTGGGGGTTGGCCTGAAGCCTCTAGTGACTCTGCGGTGGAATCTGAATCTTATGAACTCTTTCCTGGGGAGTCAACATTGGAATGATTGATGACACAGAAGAGACACAGACACAACACAACACCTGAAGTAGATGCACAGCAGTGCATGCAACTCTGCCACCAAGGAAGGGATCTCAGGTGTTAGGCCCCAGAGCTAAATATGATCACTACTGACCAGCTTGTTAATTCCTCAATTATTCTTTTTTTAAAATTAATTTACTTTTGTGTGTGTGTGAAGTACTAAAGATTGAAACCAGGGCTTTGTACATGTGAGGCAAGCACTCTACCACTGAGCTGCACCTCTGGTCCTTTTTATTTTTTGAATCAGGATTTCACTAAATTCTAAGTTGCCTAGGCTGGCCTTCAACTTGCAAACCTCCTGCCTCAGCCTCCCAAGCACCCAGGATTACAGACATGAAAACTGCACTGGTTCCAGTTTATTCTTTATGACTTACTGATGTAAACTCCGTGGTCTCAACTTCTTCTTTGCTACTAAAAAAATCCCATGAACCCACTGGTCGCTGATCATTTCCTGGCCACTTGTTCCATGCGGCTCTATGAAACTCCTTGTTCTTTAGTCTTCCAGATACTTTAAAAGAAATAACAGATCTAAGTCCTGAGCTTAAAGACAAGGGTGGCAACTGGCCAGTGGGAGGTCAATACAAAACTACTTTAATGCAGGCAAGTTTGCAGAAAAGCAGCATCTCCACAGAATAGCTTACCTCCCTTCCTTCTTCCTCGAAGTACAATTCAGACAAGGCTCATTCCAGGGCTCTGTTTTCAATCAATGAAGCAGCCAAGTAGAAATTACTCTAATCGTTGCTCTATTACTTATTTGCTGTGCAATCTTGCTCACATGATTTCACCTCTCTGAGCCTTGATTGCTTTATTTATGGGCAGAACCAGTTCAATAATTTGCAAGATACCAGGGAACATTGAAAATGCAGTAGTCTGCTATTCAAAATTATTAAAAGCATTAAGAGGACAAGTGCAGACCATCAAACCAGTCACGGTGCCCTTTTAGACTGAGCATTGGCCCTGTATGATCTTGCCAGTAACAAGCCCAAAACACAGATCTTGCTACTTATGACATTCATTGCAGGGTCAAAGCAGATATGTGCAGTGTGGGGAGACTGCAATGGCAAGCAGCAACACTGAACCAATGCCCAGGGTTTGGAGGCAAATTTGTTTACATCAATGCTGATTACCCCCAAAATATCAGGTGCTGATCTCTGTGGTCTAGAGCTTATATGGGATAAGTAAGCAAGAAGTACAGAGAGGCGGAATGACTTGCTAACTGGAGATCAGCTCTTACAACATGCATCACAGTGACCAGCTGTTTTCTTGTAACTGGAACTATTACCGAGGCGACTAGCAAACTAAAGTATACTGGCTCCGCAGGGGCAGGGTGGGGAGTGGAGGGGTCTCCTACAAGATCAGCACTGAGTGGATGCCAGGTCTTGTGGTAACCGTGGGGGCAGGGGCAGGGGCAGTTCAGCTCCAGGATCTCTTGGAGGGCTCCACAGTAAGGTGGCAGCTGTAATCTACCTACGCTATAGGTTTCACTGAGCTACTGCTAAGACACACAGAGACTCCACTACAAGGACTTGGTAAACCTCAGGGGCCATGTAGGAGGTGTGACCAAAAACATAGTTAGTGTGGGGCCAGAGATTTAGCTCAGTGGGCCAATGCCTGCCTGGCAAGTGCAAGCTCATGAGTTCAATCTCCCATTAAAAAAAAAAAAAAAAAAAAAAAAAAAAAAAAAAAAACCCCAAAAACAGTTAGTTTAAATTTTCAAAAATATATCAGAGTAAAAGACACACTGCCATCAATCCTTCTCAAAATGTTCCCCTTACTTGGAACACACTAATCCCATTGTTCTTTTCACTTTCTGAAGCAGTTCTGGATGTCTGTTTTCATGTCTTTATTGTACTGTTTGTGTTGCCTTTATGTCCTGAATCGATTAAAAACATTTACCTTTCATGATCATAGAGGTGCATGGTACCAGATTTGGTGAATAAGGTGGATGAGGACACAGCATAGTATTTTTCTAAGCCTGCTTTTCTACTGGATGGCACTTGAAGCAGCATTCAATGTATTTTTTATTACATCTTGTAAACACACAAAAGAGGACTGCTTTGTAAAGCGGCAAGAATGATGGGATATTTGAAGCAGGGGGGAATATTTGAGGGGGGTTAATGTATCGTAATAAAAGCTTTTATTTAAGCACATACCATGCTCACTGTATTTTTTGACCATCCCATGTATGCACTTCGTGTAGAGAGGCTTACAGTTTTGGTGACGAGGGGAAGAGTAAGATTAGAGGTTCAGAGAGAAGGAATTCCTCTTTAAGAGACTGACTGTAGAATGTTGCAAACAATTATTCAACCTAGAAAGTTTGATGTGGAAAGTCAGAGACAGTAGAGGGATGAAGGAAGCCAGACCTCTCAGTTTAGAGCATAATGGACCAGTGTAAAGTCAAACAACAGTAGTCTGAGCTGGAAATGGAAGATTTAATTACATAAATCACCACGGGCCAGAGAATGGCTCAACTTGATCAAGCAGAAGCCAACTTCTGACTCCAGCCAAAACCAAAACGGGGAAACCCAAAACCACACATCACATTTGGTTTCTGTCCAAGGCGGCCCTGCAAACCCTTCTGCCCATTAGCATCTCACCACGGTGGCATTCAGCTTCCCTGGGACCTTGTAGGTCACATCTACAGAGCCAAAGAATCAGTTACAATCAACTCCCTCAAAAGGACAGCCCTGGAAAGACATTCTAATTGCTCCAAGATGGGTGGTGGAAAGCTTATGTAAACTGAATTATCCCTGCTGATTTCCTTTAGCTTTAGGCCCTTCAAACTCATTGAATTTCCCAAGGAAAAAAGTCATTTGCATGTACATTCACATATGCATCTGTACGTGCTATACATGTCTATATTTTTATATGTATGTTCTAAAACTAAGTCATGGACTGGTTTTAATGCCTGTAACTGAAAGGTCTCATAGCCAGAATATACGAAGAACTCTCATAACTGCAAAGCAAAAGACAACTCAACAGAAAAACAGTAAAAGGATGCAGTTAGGCAACTCACATGACAGCAATGGCAAATGGTCAATAAAAACTTGAAGGTAAATGCGCACCATCAATGGTAATGACGGGAACTTCATGTGCCTCAGATTGACCACATCTAAGGTCTTCAATAAAGATTGCTGGCAAGGATGTGGAGGCAGATCTCATGGACTCTGAGTGGGACTGCAAACTGCTAGAGACAAATTAAGTCATAGGCTAGTAAGGTTTGAGAAGCACATAGCCTACAGCCCAGCAACTTCCCTTCTAGCTACTGCAGACTCAAGAGAGATCCATTATTAAATAAGAATGTTTATAGAAGCCACTATTTGTAAAACATAGAAATTACAAATGTTCACCAATCAGAGAATAGATACAATGTGTTATGTTGTTGCACTGGAATATGCTAGTAGTATTCCAATCTGTGGTCCTGGGGGTTGGAAACGCCTGGCTTCCCTAAGCCGAATGCACCAAGTAAACTATCATGGGTTGTATGTAAAATACGAGGCAGGAGATCCAAGTTTGAGGCCAGCTTAGGCAATTTAGCAATTTAGCATGAACTTGTCTTTTCCTTCCTCAGGGTCTACAGGCTTTGTGCTCTACTTTCCAAGGGCAAAGCAAGCTGGGGAGGCTGTTTATCCTCCTGTAGACAAAGTGGCAGTAAAAGCTGGCAACTATGAAAGGGAACAGAAGAGCTAAGAAAAAAAAAAAAAAAAACCACAAGAATTTCAAAAGCCTAAGATAGTTCAAAAGAGCCCAAAAATTTCTAAAAAGGAGCCAAAGACAACCCCATATCACAGCTAGATCTGAAAAATTAATGTTCCTGAAAAATGACCTTGAAGCGCTACCAAAAAAGGCCAACACTGATGAAGCCAAGAAGCAGAGAGACACCGGTCCCTGGCGGTTTGCAGAGGCATCCATGTTCGGTTTCTGAACAGATTCCCAAAAGCCCCAAGCAGCCCAAGCTTCCTTATGTGTCTCCCAGGGCCTGCACAGCCTGACTACAGAGTTGGTGGACATAGCTTCTCCAAGACTCAGTGCTGGAAGCTTTATCAAGCTTAAGATTTCTGGGGCTCAGGGGAACGGGCCCAAGACATGCAAATAACAACAACTCCCCCAAAAGTTCACCAATTGGGCAGGTGACACCGTGCACTCATTGTGCTATATTTGCGACCTTTAAATAATATTTAGAGTGCTTCAAGTGTTTTTGTTTTCTTTGTCCTTGCAAAGGCTTATGAGTCATTGGAAAAATGTGGCATTTCACTCAGTAAACTACAGAAAGGAACAGAGTCCTGCAGTATTTCTCCGGAAGTGGAGAAAATTGTCTGTGAAGCTGACTTTACAAACTCAATTGTAGGCTCAAAAGTTCCTTGGGTGTTATTACACAAGAAACGCAGACCTTAATGATCCATTTGCATGACCACTGTGTGCAGGAGAGAGAACAGTCTCTCCCTGCCGGGGAGGGAGGGAGACCTAAGGATACCACTCAGTGGTTAATTACCCTGGCGGTCTACTCCAACCACATCTAACAGAGTGGACCAAGGGACTACTGTGGTCAGCCGAAAGCACCTGATCAGCTCCAAGACAGGAAGCCACACAATCTGCTTTCAGAAGACTAAGGAAAAGTCCTTTTTCATTCACT